GTGGTTTCTATTCACCTGAGGAAGAAGGATAGTCAGGAATAGGAGGAAGATATGGAATGTGTGGCTAATTTCTCCATGAACAACTGCTTCCTTTGCCATGAGACCAGAAGAACTGGATGGTATCCAGCTACCATTACTGAACATTTTGATCAAAGATTCCATAAAAGAATCCGGATCAAAAGGGGAAAATGCAGAACAGAATTTCAAATTCTCATGGACTCCAGACTTCCAGGAGCCATGAAGGGTAGATGAACCCCTGAAAATATTGCCCTGAGATAATCTTTAAACCTTAAACCAAAAATATCCCCTGAAGTCTTCTTAACACCAAGCAATAGTTCAGCTTAACTAGTAAAAAAGATCTGCCTTGAGCATTATGTTCTTTTAAGAACATTCTATAAGGGATCAGATTGACAACAGCAACTCAGAAGATTCGACAGGAACCTTAGAGGGCCGTTAGCTTATGTTAATGGGAGAGGAACAAGTCAGAAAAGGAAGGTGAGAATGGTTGCGTAACTCAAAGAATGTAATCAATGTCGCAAAATTGTACATGTAGAAACTGTTGAATTGGTGTATGTTTTGCTGTGTATATTCTCAACAATAATAACCAAATAAAAGAAAATAAAAAACAAAAAAAGTACCGTCTGGTTTAATTTTAAGGAAAAAAGAGAGGAAACTACGTATTTGTATGTATATTTGCATGCTTCTAAATGAAGCAGGGAAGAATGTACATTAAGTTATTAGCACTGGTTACTTGGGGAGATGGGATTGGAATGGCGGGAAAGGGAGACTTAATATTTTGTTATTATTGGAATTTTTACATTAAGCATGTATCACTTTTCCAAAAAAGTATTTTAAAAGAAAAACATTAGAAACTGGTAAGTCAATAATTAGATTTTTTATATATTTTTAAAAATTATTTATTAAAACAAAAGCTACACCCTGGGAGCTCTACCTTTCAGAGACTAAAAGTGTTGCTGAAAAAGAAATGAAAACCAGAATAAATCCATTGATTGGAAATTCAGGTTGTAGGTACTTCTGTAAAAGTCAAACTCATCCAGCAGCAGGAATCAGATTTGCAGGATTTAAATAAGAGTGTTTTTGTGGTTGTTGAAATATTTCTTGGGCGGAAAAATGCTTCATAAGATGAGATTTTAAAAAATAGAGATGTTAAAACTAAAAAGAAAAATCTTATCATGAGTTAGCAAAATTTGTTGTTGTTAGGTGCCGTTGAGTCGGTTCCGACTCACAGCGACCCTACAGCTTTTAAAATATATATACATGGCAAAATACATTTAGGAAATTGGTTTTAGGGTAAAAAGTTTAAGCAGGTCACAAACGGTGTACAAAATGGTTAGCTCCAACTCTAAATCAGAGGTGGCTGGGCCTGATGAAAACCTGGGACCCAAATCTTGTCCTCAGAGTCAGACATCAAGGTTAAGAGGATTTGAAGAACAGACACTCTCTTCTCGGGTTCCATAACTTTGACTAAAAGGCCTAGGAACTGTTGTTTTTATTATGAAACTGTCCACCTGTGAAAAAAGCAGGGAAAAGAAAGAAAAGCATGCAATGGGAGAAAAAAATGTCTGGGCATCAAAGACAGACGAAATGAACCCTCTATCCAGTTTCGTTTCCTTTCCCAAAGTGTCAAACGGTACATTCTTGATTTCTGTTATCGGAGAGGTCTATTCCACCACTTGCTAGCTGTATCACCTCTGCAAAGGGATGTAAAACCTCTCTAGGCCTCAACTTCATCATCTATAAAATGGGGATAATAAAACTAACTACTTCATGTGTTTGCTGTGAGGACAAAATGAAATGATAAATGTAAAGAGCTTAGCCTGATGCCTGGCATGGCATAAACACGTAGTTATTATCATTGTCACCGCTACTACCACCACCAGAATCAACTTTAACCCCTTAATGAAGTGACTAAAACATGGTGTCAGCAACTAAGGGAAAAAAAAAAGCCATTCATTGTTTTTGGAGCTCTACTAACATGCTGTAGCAAAAAAAAGCCCATAATATATCCAATCACAATCTGTGGCACTGGGAATGGTTTATCGCCAATGATTCACAATGATCTACTTCAGTTGGCACATGAGTAAAGAACATACTCAGCCCTTCATTCAATTTATTCACAGACAAAATAATCTGAACTTTTCTAGGCATCACTTCAAGACTAAAACCTACATCTATCTCTGTGTATGAAGAGTATCCATGGAATCTCTATCTGACAGTACATAATCTGCGCAAATTTTTGAAAAAAATTAAATGGCGCTCTCCCAACTAATATGGTGGTATTTTTTCAACTATAAGCAGAAATGTTCCATTATGACTTGAGTTGATATATTTCCAACCACGATGTAGAATATTGGAGCTGGAAAGAGCCTTAGCTATACATTGGAAATACTCTAGTCCAAACTTCCCATTTTACAGATGAGAAACATGAAACCAAGAAAGGGGAAAGTATTCATTTGTCCAAGGTCACACGGTGTGTTAGTAGAAGAGCCAATGCATGGTCTCTGGGCTTCAGCCCAGCCCAACCACTGCTTTCTAGACTGGGTATCAGGCCCAGAGGACGCCCTACCCATTATCCAACCGGCTGCCCAGAGCCCACTGTCCTTGGGCCTGGCCCTCTGGTTCCCTGCTCCTGTCCCTCCAGGCCCCAGCTCACGTGGTGAAGGGTCCATAGGACAGGCCCTGCTGGTCCCGGTGCTCCTTCCATAGTGCCATGTCATTCCGTATCGGGTATTTGCCTTCCTGCCTCATCACCTGCTCCAGAAGTGGGGCACTGGCCAGGTTCACAGAGGTTTGAGGCCCTACTCTGGTCCTCCAAATTGGCCCATACTTGGCCTTGCTCAGCATCTGTGGAGTTTAATCAAAGCTGAATAATTGGGGCTCAACCAGGCAGGCACTTTGGGGAGAGGAAATGGGTGGGGAGTGTCTGATGGCCACATCAGAGCAAGTAGGCTGGGCAAAAGTACATTGTGTGGAAGGTAAGCGCTGGGATGCATTGTGGTTCCAAGCACACATGGAGCTAGAATATTGAGACCAATGAGTATCTGACGGAACTGGGGGAATTGAGGTTCTTAGAGGAGTGAGATTTTGGTATGCTGAGGTCTAGATATTTGGGGCCCATGGTTTTAAAGAAACTGAGGCCTTCGGTGAGATATAGTAGAATGGTTACAGCCCCTTTCACTTTTTAGCACTTAATTCTACTCCAGAGAGTAAACTAAAGCTTGCTATCAGTGAGATGAAGATAAATGTCTTGTGTGATCAACAAGACAAAAGAAACACATTTAGAAACTCCAGCAAAAACAAGAAGCTGAATGAGAAAATCAGGGTACAAATATGAAGTAAACTTCATGGTATGATTTTGAACATACCATGATTTTGATGGTCTGAAAACTACAGTGATTCTTGGAAGGAAATAGGCATATTCATAAATTTCTGGTGGAAGTCTAAAATGACACAATTCTACATGGAGGACAATTTGTTCATCTTTTTAAAAATGACAAATGAATTTATAAACAAAGTATGGCATATCCACATAATAGAGTACTAGTAGTTGCCAACAAGTTGATTTCCAACTCATGGTGACCCCATGTGTGTCAGAGTAGAACTGTGCTCCACAGGGTTTTCAGTGGCTGATTTTTCAGAAGTAGATTGTCAGGTCTTTCTTCTGAGGAATTTCCAGATGGATTAGAACTACAAACTTTTGGTTAGCAGCTGAGCATGTTAACCATTTGTACCATAAAAAGAGATGAACAGGCTTCCTATGTACTGATACGAAAATACATCCAGGATACATTAAGTGAAAAAGTATGATACCTTTTGTATAAAGGAGGTGACATAATATACTGGTTTTATATCTGGTTTTATAAAGACACATTGGATGGATACATAAGAAACTAATAAAAGTAATGAGCTATGGGATGGTGTCAGGGTGGTGGATGGGAAGAAGAGGAATAGAGAAGGGAGTAAGACTACCCAATATATATCCTATTATATTGTTTTGTTTTTATTGAGCTTTAGATGAAGGTTTACAGAGCAAATTAGTCTCTCATTAAACAATTAATATACATTTTTGTGTGTGACATTGGTTGCCAATACCATGATGTGTCAATACTTTCCCCTTCTCGACCTTGGGTTCCCCATTACCAGCTTTCCTGTCCCCACCTACCTTCTCATCTTTCCGCCTGGGCCGTTGTGCCCATTAAGTCTTGTTTTGTTTTATGGGCCTGTCTGATTTTTGGCTGAAGGGTGAACCTCAGGAGTGACTTCAGTACTGAGTTAAAAGTGTGTCCGGGGGCCTTACTCTCGGGGTTTCTCCAGCCTCTGTCAGACCAATAAGTCTGGTCTTTTTTTGTGAGTTAGAATTTTGTTCTACATTTTTTTCCAGCTCTGTTCGGTACCCTCTATTGTGATCCCTGTCAGAGTAGTCAGTGGTGGTAGCCCGGCACCATCTAGCTGTGCTGGACTCATCCTAGGGAAGGCTGTGATAGTTGTGGTCCATTAGTCCTCTGGACTAATCCTTTCCCTTGTGTCTTTGGTTTTCTTCATTCTCCCTTGCTCCAGATGGGGTGGGATCAGTGGAGTATCTTAGATGGCCACTTATAAGCTTTTAAGACCCCAGACGCTACTCACCAAGGTAGGATGTAGAACATTTTCTTTACAAACTATGTTATGCCAATTGAGCTAGATGTTCCCCAAGACCATGGTCCCCAGCCCTATGCCCTGTAATTCCATCCCTCAGGGAGTCTGTATGTGTCTATGAAGCTTCCATGACCTTGACTTGGTCAAGTTGTGATGACTTCCCCAGTATTGTGTACTGTCTTACCCTTCACTAAAGTTACCACTTATCTATTGTCTATTTAGTGTTTTTCCCTCCCTTGTTATATTGTTTTGATTTTTGAACTATGAGAATGTATTGCCTATTCAATATTTTAAAATCTAAAGGAAAAATACATTTTTCTGAAACAATTAGACAATCTACCCTTAATAAGATAATTCCAGAAGGCAGAAAAACCTTGCTGAACCTCAGAATTCCTGTGTATACTCCTTAGATTTATAAGTGGGCCCTAGCCATAACTATAAACTAATGTTGTTTATTATTCTTAAAGGTTCCATTTTCTAAAGAGTTTACTTACAGGTCCATTTTTCTCTATTAAATTTCCTAGAAGAATTATCCTAATAGTAGGCTTAATTTTTGTTTCTAGTTTGGTTATTTAAGACATCAATAATAACAAATATTGATATAGCACTTACCAGAAACCAGACACTGATCCAAGCACTTTACTTAAAATAGCTCATTCAATTCTCACAACAGCTGTATAAGGTAGTCCCTGGGTGGTGTAAACAGTTAACATGCTTGGCTGCTAATGTTTGAGTCCACCTAGAGGACTCGCATTCTATTTCTGAAAAAATCAACCATTGAAAACCCTATGGAGCATAGTTCTACTCTGACACACACAGGGTCACCATGAGTTGGAATCAACTCAATGGCAACCTTTTTTTTTTTTTTAAACATACTTCTCAATTTATTCTATGTGGCTGGCACCGGCCTGATACCAAAAGTAAGGAAAAAACACTACGAGAAAATTACAGATCAACATCTCCCATGAACATAAATGAAAAAAACTCTAAACAAAATCCCAGCAAATCGATTGTAACAATATATAAAAAGAGTAACATATCACAACCATGTGGAATTCACTCCAGGAACACAAGATTGCTCTAACATTCAAGACTGAAACAATTGTTCTCGGGGGACATCCACCTCAATTGGCATAACAAAGTCTGTAAAGAAAATGTTATACATCCGACTATGGTGAGTAGCAACTGAGGTCTTAAAAGGCTGCAAGCTACCATCTAAAATACATCTACTGGTCCCATCCCAGCTGGAGCAAAGGAGAATGAAGACCAAAGACACAAGGGAAAGATCAGTCCAAAAGACTAATGGACCACAATTACCACAACCTCCAAAGACGCAAAGGCAGGAAGGGATGGGAAAACTGATGAAGGGTCCTGGGGTGGAGAAGGGGAGGGTGTTGACATATCATGGGGTTGGCAACCAATGTCACAAAACAATTTGTGTATTAACTGTTTAACGAGAACCAAATTGCTATTAAACTTCCACATAAATCACAATAAAAAATATTTAAAAAAAGAATGAAACAATGTAATTCACCATATTACAACATTAAAAAGCAAAACTATATGATTAACCCAATAGGCACAGAAAAAGCACCTGACAAAATTCAACACATATTCCTGCCAAAAGCTCTTGGAAAAACTAGGAATAGAAAGGAATTCCCTCAACCTGATAAGGGACATCTACAAAAAAAGCCCACTGTGAACATCACACTCAATGGTAAAAGAATTTATGCTTTCTCTCTAACATAAGGAATGAGGCAAGGATGTTCATCCTCACCACTTCTATTAAACATTGTACTAGAGATTCCAGTCAGTGCAATAAGGGAAGAAAAAGAAACAATAATAATTATTATGAACAACAGATAGGGAAACTGAAGTACAGAAATTTGCTCTTAATGGCACCTGGCACAGTAGACAAATCACAAGCCTGGATTTGAACCGGGGAATGCCTAGCCCCAAAGCCAGGGCTCTTAAACTGGCTCACAGTAAGCACTCTAGATCCTAAGGAATAAATAGTTCCAAACCTTAGCTGCAGCAACCAGGTGGATTGAGCTAAAAGGAGTTGTCAAAAATAAACAACTCAGAATACCACTAACACATTGCTATGCAGGTTTAATAGATAACTTTAAAGTTGCGCAGCATGTCACTACCGAGTAAACTGGTGCTCCAATTAATTAAGATTTGAGGGTCCTAATACATAATTTCACCAGGAACTTTGAACAAAAAATTTTTGATTAGTTGGCAATTGTGTCAGAATATATAAATCTTATAAGACAGCAGGATGTGCTCAAACATTATAAAGACTAGAAAAAATAGAAATCTTGCTGAGACACAGTATCAGTGAGTCATGATTGTAAGACCTCTGAAGTCTTACAAATAGGACATGTTCATTAATCTTTAACTATTTTCTGAAAGAATAAGTTACAAATTCTTCAGTGAGCCTGATCATCTAATCTAAATATAATTATGTGAAACAAGACAAGCTGCTTCAGAAGGTTAGTTACAGTTTCAGGCATAACTATAAGCTGTTAAAATTATATATACAGACATACATATATATATTTATATGATTATACAGCACACAGGTTTCTAACATTTAATAAGATGACATTTAGTGTTATGGGCAAGAGAACTCTGTTTTCATAAAGCAAAACTTATAATTTTATTTAACAATTTCCCTCCTTTTGATCATGATTCAATTAGAATCTCTGTATCAACTAAGTGTTGGCTGGGCACCATCTAGTAATCTAGTAGTATCATCTAGTAGTACCTCAGTAATTATAGGTACTTGTTGTGATATATACACTATCTCTATTGGTTCTTTGAATGCTTCTTTTTGTTGTTGTTCTAGTTGGAAGGAGACCATTTGCTATTTTTAGATGGCTACTCTCAAACTTTTAAGACCCCAGTCACCAAACAACAATCTGAAAAGGATATATATTATTCGCATTAGGAGGATACATAAGCCAATAGTTTGAAAGACTTGTCTGACCCACAAACCTAAAGTTCCTAGCCAGGAAAACAAATCCTAATAAGTATTAGGGAGGGGCAAGGCAGTATTAGCTGTGTTTCTAGCATGTGCTCTAGCCACTATTATATATTAATACATTTCAGTTTGGGTTTCATTAATATATACACAACATTTTTCTCTTACTAAAGCACACACTCCTCCTTGGGAAAGTTTCATATACTTCTGAAGCTCTGTTTTA